TTTGGTAGACAGGTTAACATGATAGTCATAATGAAATCTGATGTGCAATTGTTGATGATTGTCTGTTCAATTTATGGGTTGATTTGTATTGAATCAGCAGAAGAGGCTATAAATAAGTATGCAAAAATCGATTGATGATTACATTGAATTTACCTGCCAATTCTAATGATACTTATTTGAATTTTCATTCTCAATCAGAATCCATGTTAATCAAGGTTACCAAGAAACAAGGGATTGACCTAAATACAATTAAGTTTAATTGTTATACAAAACAAAAGGCCATCAAGACATTTTAACCAACACAGTTACCAAGTATTATCATAGTGATCAAGTATTAATATAAATATACATAATATATATATATGTACACTTTTGGTACAATCATTCATTGAATTGGATGAGAACTTGAAAAGAATGGAAAAATGAATTTGATTAATTGTAATTTTCATTTTAAAAAATGTGCGAATAAAAATTAACCAATCACAGGATTAACCAATGATTGAAGAGCGAGCCAATATGAACCTTACATCAGCAACAACAAGTTACATTGTATCAAGTCAACGTTTAATCTGGTCAATTTTTCTGTTAATTGTTTTATTTACTAATTCAATTGTTTCAAAATGGAGTTACGATTCGTCAACAATCTACTGGAGTGGCTACAGTTGGCGTATCAAAGAGGGTTATCGTCGTCCCGGTCCAAATTATTTTACCAATGATAGTGTTAGTTTAACAAATGGAACCCTTTCAATGATGATCAAACCTTTACCCGATGGAAACTGGAGTTCAGCAGAGATTTACACGGTTCGTTCACTTGGCTATGGTACCTATCAGTGGGTAATCAGTACAGAGACTGGTAATTTACCAGCTCAGGTAACACTGGGAATGTTTACATGGGAAGATTGGGCCAAAGAAGTTCATAATCGCGAGATTGACATTGAATTTGCTAAATGGGGTAAACCTTCAGATCCAACTAATGCTCAGTTTACCATACAACCTCATCGTGTTAAAGGAAACATTAAGAGGTTAACTGTTTTCCCTTCATCTGGTCAAACAAGAGCAGAGTTCACTTGGTCACCTTGTGGAGTAACTTTCAGATTAATCAAGCAAGGTATCTGTTTTGGTCAAAATCTTAATCACACGGACACCAAATATCGCATGTCCATGGAAAAGAAAAGGTTCACATTAATCTTTGGCTTTGGGCCGGCAACCACCAGATACTAATGGTAAACCAGTAATTGTTAATTTAAATCATTCAATTTCATTCCACTCGATGTACCGATCCAGATATATTGTAGAGTCGATCATCCC